TTCTGGGTGCCCTGTCACACTGAATCCCAGGACAGCTGGTTGCACAGTGGCTTGCAGATGGCAAGGACATCCCCAGCCTTGAATGCAAGCAGCAGCCCCTCTTAGCTACTAGCACTTTATTACAAATAACCGACTTCGATGAAATTAAATCCCTGACAAATAATTTTATTATGCAAGCTTTAATAGCGAACGGCACCACTTCCTAAAAGAGTTTTATGGAAATATGATATTACATTTACATGGAAAAATGAAAAGAACAGACTAGAATATTCATCCTTATGCACAAAAGGCATCATCAATAAAGCAGCTGTGCTTTTGTCTAAAACATTTCTATGGAAGTGGGTAATTATTATTTAAAAAACCCACACTGATCTGCTCCTGACAGCCCACAAAGTACATGTTCATCTACTTGCTCTCCCTGACAGCTGATCTATTCTGAGTACAGGTGACTAACTAATAAAGTCTATTATACTTCTAATAGAAAAGTAATTCCATTTATCTTTACCCTTCCTAGCAGCACTGCTTCCTTGCACTGAGTTGGGGTGGGATACTGTAACAGATTTCTAAAATGTGGTTATTTTCATCCCTACAATTGCTGTGCATTACTTAGAATTTTAGATTGCTCTGCTTTCTTCAGGAAAAACAATTAGACACAGATAATATCACCCCGAGGATGAAGCAAAAGCAATTATTTCTGTTACAAAATGTCCCTCTAGATGTGAACAACTAAGCTTTTTGATTTGTAATTTTATTACTTTGTCTTTCTGTTAACAAATAATTAATATGATTACTAACACCCTATGTACCTCTAATGTCTATACTATTTCAATTATAAAGCCATTACTGATGCTTATTAATTCTATTCCATCTATCTTCAAACTTGCATGGTAATCTTAGAACATTTGTTGACATTCATGGAGCTGCAGCTCCTCCAAACTTGCTCCCAGGAATCCAGCAAAGTTTATCTGCTGCCACCCCTGAGATGGAACAGGAAATTCAACAGCAGACTACAAACCACACAGTTTTTTGTTCAGTCACTCAGTTGGATTAAACGGCTCTCCATGTCCTCCAAAAAATAAAGGATTTTTCTGAAATAGTGTTGCCCACTGTGTCTTTGCAATCTTCCTTCTTTCTAAGCTATAAAGTCAGCTTTTTTTTTTAAATTTCCAACAAAAATGTAACATGACACAGTGAAGCCTATTTTAGCTAGTAATACCTGCTTCTTCCACCTCACCCACCATTAGAGCACTTTGCTTCAGGAAGGACACGGGAGTGGTATCTGCCACATATATGAATCAGTAAGTCAGTGCATATGGCTCATTTAAAGTTTTTGCCTGTTTGCTTTTACAGTGTCTTTTTGGATGCAAGATTCAGATTCGTTGTCAATGCTGCTGAATACAAACAGCTTCTATATAATGTTTGTCCCTGAAATTAAAAAAGGGAGATTCATCATTAAAGCCAAGTCCTAAGTCTCATTGACTGTCAAAGACTTTATTCGAGGGGAAAACTAGCTACTGAGGATCCTTTAGTTAGTTAGGCACTCTGGAAAAGTTCAATTGATTTCAAGTAATGATTTCCAATATGAACAATGCTCTTCGTGTTGGTGTGCTTCCTCCTCCTGACCTTTGAAAAGTCCCGTTCGCCCCGCTTTTGCAAACTGGCTAGCAATTCATCCTCTACGTTCAGAAACGTCATGCACTTCCAGGCCCTGTGATTGTTAAGGATCCAAAGGTTTGGGGATGTTTTCTCCTGCTTTTTCTCCTCTGGGGGGGGCTATACCATGCTTTTTGCTTGGGCTGAGTGGAATTAAAGGGTTCTGCATTAATCACGCAGTGCCGTGTCAGACACTGCCCAGGCCAGGTGATGTAAGCTCTTGACCCTCAAATGCAGAGGCCAAATGTACCGCTAAATTAATGTAGTGCTACATGGTGCAGTCAAAGACATTAAAGTTTTAAGAGTGCAACTGATTATATGTAGTTCAACTTTCAAACACATTGGTCAACGGTTGGACTTGATGATCTTAAAGGTCTTTTCCAACCTAAACAATTCTATGATTCTATGATTGCAACAGTCACGCCGTGGCACAGTGATGCATGTCAGTGGGCTCTCAGTTTTACTGTATGGAGGACTTGACATTGGCTTTTAACCTGCCCATAAACCACTCCTAACACACTGCAAGGAATGGGAAGGAAAAGGTATTACAAATCCAGTAGTCACATGTAAAATAAAAGACTAAGCCAACAGCTTGTCTACTTCTGCCAACACCAACCAATTTCTAGCACTTGGGGTTAAAAGACCATGACGGCTGCAATGGCCAAGCAAGGAAATACACCCTCAAACAGCCTCTTTTTTTAGGCTATAGGGAGCTTCCATAAAGTAAATCTCATTTATAGCCTGGGATGTTCCTTATCTCACCTGAAATTACTGTAATCTTCAAGCATTTGTCATTCCTCACTAATTACCAGTGTCTGAGGGGTATTGTAGGAGAAACGTTCCTATCAATAGCTAAGGAAGCCACCTTTCTGAATTTTATTTTGAACTTAAAATCAAACTTACTAAATATGATTGGATCTTATTTGACATTGCTTCTCCCATCCTGGCCATTTGGTGTACTCAGCACTTTCCACTCTTTCTTGTTTTGTAGTTACTTCACAAAATGTATGATACCTAGCAGAATTTCATAGACATTAACTATCTGACCAATTGTTTAAAACCATCAGATGTGAAATACTTTTTTATTTTGCAAATAGGGAAAATTTTACTGAAAGCAAAATTACGTCAGAGGAAAAGCAAATTTTGCTAAAAATTACTTTTAAAACATTTCTGTTAGTTCTAGAAACAATGATAGCAGCTTAAGTTCCTCTTAAGTTCATGTCTGTCTTAAAAGTATCTGAAGGATGAAAATATATCACTGTAAAAGATTTCTCATTAACCTGCCATCTACAGCAAGACTAACACAACTTTTTAGAGGTGTGGCATAAGTGTTACAAAAGGAAATAAGTACAGTTAAAAAGATATGAGTATGCGTGAGTACCTCTTTATCCTGGGGGAAGAATCATAGGTATAAGGGTTTATTTCCTATGTTGTTTCTAAACTTATTTTAACTAGGCATGTTTGCTTAAAATTGAAAAAATCCCAACAACATGAATTTCTACTTTCAAATAAGGCAGATCAATAATAAAGCACACAGTATTTCCAAAATATAAGCATTCCTTTAACTACTGCTATGAGGTTTCATACCAGTAGTTTCAGTAAGTCTGCTGCATAGTGCATTAAAAGATGGATGTATCTATGACTAATGCTCATAGGAAAAATTTAATATAGCTATAATCCTTTAATTTGAATTATTCTATGCTCTACTATCTTAAATGTTCTACAATATCCAAATAAAAAATCTCTGATGTCTACATGCTTACAAAGCAAGGAGAAGTACCCAAGAATATATTGATACGTCTAAAGATTAATCCTGGGATATTCCAATCAGAGTAGACACTTTTCATAATTAACCAAATGCAGAAGTCTCAAAGCAAGCAAGACCTACAACTCTATTTCACCTCTTGGAAGATGTGGAGATAGGCACATATTCCTCCTAATATCATAACTTTAGGAGTATATTGCTACATATCACTACAAAACATCCAGTGATATGGAAAAGGCCAGGGTATCTCCGAGGTAACCCTCAAAACCTAGAGATGTCTCATGCAAGCTTTGGACCCAACATCAGGCTTGGTGATCACTGAACAATTATATCTATTTTGTTATTTAAGGCATGGTCACCTATCAAAAGGTGCGCCTGTTACGGAGTAGGCAGCCCTGCTCTTCTAGTAACAGGCAGGCTTGTTTTAAGAGCCATCAAATAACATCACATGCATGCCCACTACAATGCAGACTTCATGAAACCAAGGGAAGCGCTTTGCAGTGATCCTCAAAATCAGCCAGGAAGAAAGTCTGATAAGAGCTTAAACCTTACTGGAGCGTGGGTTTAGAAAACACCAAGTAAAACACTAACATTTCCAGGAAGAGCTGGAGAACCTTGCAGGGTCTGTACAGAACTGATATAGATGAGCCCTGCAGCAAGGAGGTCAGTACATGCCAAGAGGTTTGTCATGTCACATCACGTGCAAGAGTGAAACCCAGATGATACAGATTTTGAAGTACAGGGCTCATTTACAGGTACATAAGCAGAAAAGAGAGCAATAAAGTGTCAAGCCTAAAAGCTGTGAGTAAAAATGTAGTTATATGACTTCTAACATCATCTCTGCGTGCTGCTTTGAAAGGGTACCCGTAAATAGTCATAGGATTCTCCGGCAAAGCACAGGACCTTTAAGGAAGGCCAGAATACTGCAGGAAGCTCTTACTCAAATATACCTGAAGTCAGTCAGCCATAAAGGATGCCTTACAGATGTCACACACAAACGATACTGGAAGTAGACTGAGGGGCTTGAAAACAATGCTGCAGAACAGAAAAAGTCCCTCAAATCTATCATTTCGGGAGAGGGAAGGAACACTACCAAACATTTAACAGTAGAAAAAACATCCCTTGGAAAGCTTGCCTTGCTATAGCACTCTAAACTCACTAAATGCAGTTTGCTGGCTAACCTCTGTTGCCCACAGGTAAACACTCCTGTTGAGAAGTTTTGTTTCCTCTCTTGGATCATGGACTTCAAAAGTGAGGGGATACTGAACGCAACACTGAGACAACTCCTGTAATTTGTAGAAGACAGGATGGACAATATCATTGATGTAGCGTAATGAGCCATTTCCCTCCTCCTACTGTGATTAATAGTGTGGATAGGAGGTTTGCTCGCTGAGCCGATAGACATGATTCTGGCCCTGGAGGCATGCCCTATATATAGCGCTGTGTGAATACATGCATGAAAGATTGGCAGGCAGAAGCAGCTCTGGGAGCCTTTGTTATTGTCCAGTTTACTCTTTCCTGAGCTCCTCCAGCTTGCACAATCTGTGTAGCCTCTGGGAAGGCAGCTTTAGAATTGGCTTACTTGATGGAAAAAGTTGCTTTTCTTGGTGCATATGATGCGAAGTAATGTGACAGCTATTGACAGCTGGGGGGGAAGAGGAGAGGAAAAATGAGTTAAGTCAGGGTATTGTGTGAAGGAGCAGAAGAGAGAAGGAAGAAAAAAGGAAAATTCCTCATTACCACAGCACGTGTGCAGTGACAGAGATAAGAGTTACTGGGTTTTATTATAATAATCATTATTAAAATCAGTTAAGTTGACACGAGTTTATGATGATATAAATAGTACCCCAGTGATTACTGGATGTTGTTCTTCAAAACTTAATCTTCCCCAAATAGAAAATCGTTAATAAGTTTAGGAGTCTGCCAGTCTACTCCCCCTTCACATTTTGTGAACAGGTAATGTAATGAGAATATAACCCCCAGGGCCTAGTCCTATCTACACTTCTATTGATACACACTGCGTTCCTCATGCATACATTTAAGGTGAGCCAGAATTTGCCTGCCAGCTTCTCATTCCCTTCTCCCTTATACTGCGGAGCCAATTGTAATTTTTATTGAATGGTGCAATTACATTGCAATATACCAGGCAAAAGTGCACTGCTGCTTTTGTGCTTTCTTAGTTCAGGTCTGAAAACAGAAGAAAAATTGAGTAATTGAGTCCATCAGCCTTTTTCATATTGAAACAAAAGGTAACATCCAGAGAAACTTCCTTCAGTAGGAAGATGAGGAACTAAAAATTTGGAGTCTCTCACTTTTTTCCTTTAGGAGATGGTACATGCCCAACAGAGACACCCCATTTTAGTTTATCTTCAGCAGACTGGTAGGTTCTGGACCACTAGCATGGAAAGCTGAAGTCTTGAAAAAAAAAAGACAAAAGGGGAAATGATACCAACTTAAAGACACTTGTGGCAAAACTGGAGATATTAAAATACATCAAGGAGGAAAGAGCTTACTTGAACAAATCCCAGCTGGCTCTTATTCTTAGTGCTGGGTAAAATACCCATTTCCAGAGCTCCAGGAGACATGCTGGAAACCACTACTCATTGCTGCCATTTGGAAATAAAAGTTTTACAAGCATCTCATAAGAAGATGCCATGCTTGCATTCAGCCTAAAGGAACCACCATCATTAGTAAACAGGTTATGCTGCAGTTTTCCTTCTGTTGCATGTGTGCATGCAGCTCTGTATAACAAAGTCATAGGAGACAAGATTAGGAAATGACATGCACAGCAGTTGTCTGTCAATACAGAAACCTTTTCTTCCAGAACAGGAACCAAATGTCAGATTTTTTTGGATTAAATTCTGATCTTCTACAGGTACTAGTATCAGACCATACGCCACAGCACGCTCAGTCTGATGTAGTATTAACACTAGTATTTTAACAAGTTCTGCATGGAATCATGATGGTCTAAAACACCAAGCCCTCCCCTCAAAACCCCTTAACTGCTAATGGGACTAATTTCAGTGTATGCCCCTCTGAAAATCCTGGAATTCAAACCCCTCACACTTTATAGAAGGCTGTAATCCAGGGTCATCTTTGCAAAAGATCTGCAAGTCAAGATGGGTCATGACGGGTCAAACTTTGACTGTATTTCCCACTTTGAAAACACCTAGTAGACCCCACTATCGTTCCTTAGGGAGACTGGTTTCAAACAGTACAAATCTTCAGGCCATTTGAGTACATTCACTGTCATCTTCAGGCACAACTGCAATTCCAAGACACATGCAGGCTCATCTTTAGGGTAAGTTCATAGCTAATTTGGACCTTACCTAGTAGGTCTAGTTCACTGTTCTTTTCTGCAGGCTACAGTTCAGAGAGGTACTAAATCATGTGCTTGAGCTAAGTCCACACAGACGTGTCACTGATACCATAAAAACCTCTGTCCTTTTAAAACCTCTGACCATATAACATGATGGAAAAAGGACAGAGAAATTTGTAACCTCTCACAACAACATCTGGACCCACCAGTGCCTTTAATTCTTGATTTAAAAAGCAAGCAAAACAAGACAAAACTTAGCCTAGCAAAGCCCTTCTACTTTTAAATGAATCTCTCTATTTATAACCTTAATGATAGTAAGACACATCAATAATAACATGGTAAGAAAACTCCTCTCTTTTCTCCCCAAAGCAGTTTTCTTACAACGATTATGGTAATTTTTCTTGTCTCTTGATTAAATGAAGGCGGCTTGCTTCACTTACAGATGTGTTGCCTGAGCCAAGCTGGCTTTACATTTTGGCATGCACACAGAACTCCAAACTGAAAAACCCTTGCTAAGAAAGATCTAGCATTCAAAAACTACTCAGTCTTGACACTTCACTTTCGTTGGAGCTTGGTTATGGAGGAGGGAATTTTTTTTCTTGTCACATTAAGCCAAAATTGGGTTAATCTGACCGTAGTGACGAGCCTATTTCAGGAACATGTGAAAGTCCTGTGCTACTTTTCAAGAAATGGTACATGCAGGAGTTATCTTCCCTCCAATCTCTCAAACAAATACCCCTTTCCCATCCCCCACTACCCAAACTAGAGATGTATGTTTAGAAATTCATCCTATGAAGCGATCTAGACATTCTGACGGCCGCAATTTATCACCATAAATTACTGCACTTCACAGTGCTTCTGTCATAAGAAAACACCGTATGCCCTAAATTGCCTGCTGCCCTCTTCAATAATCAGCCCAGTTTTTAAGATCTAGAGATCTGCTGATAAAGGACACCTCGGTGCATACAGCGACAAAAAAAATTGAGTTTCATACACATCACTGGAAACATCCACACGCTGGTCTATTAATCTTTAGATTGGGGTCATTTTTCTCTGGAGATGTGGTAATAGATTACTTTGAGAGAAAATGGGGAAGAGCACCCAGACAGGGGCCCGCTTAATACCAAGCAAGCTTGCCTCCCTCCTTCTTGGTTTAATCCTAAAAAGTATCTAATGCGCAAAGCTGCTGTTAACCCTGTATTGACCAACACCGATGCAAAAGGAGTGCACAATGTGTTAGCGACATCAGTCTGCCCCTACATCTTCTCAAGCACCCTACACTGTAAGACCCACACTGGCACTGCTCCTCTTCTCTCCCTGATCACAGCCCATTTCGCTGGTTCCAGCATCATCACCCACCTGCCCGAGAGCCTCTCAAACCCCCTACCCAACCTCCTTTGCATTTCTCTATCTTTTTGTTTTCTCTGGGAATCAAAATCTATTCGCTTCTGGAAAGGCACAGGAGAAAGATCACAGGCTCTGACCCTTTGTCTTTTCTCTTGTGGAGATTCAGTCTCTAGGTTACCGCAGATAGAAAAGACTTTCTCTCCCCTCATTCCTCAATCCCTCTGGATGAGCCTCAGCATGGTCCCAGACCTTCAGCGCTGCTTTTTAACGTTCTTTTGGTTCAGGACCTTTAAAACTATGTGAGGAAAAACATACCTGAAAGTGCCTTGGAGGGACTTCTGGAGGGAAGTGGCCTCACGTTCTTAGGTACTTTTGCCAGTCCTGATTTTTATAGTATTTCTTCCCGTGTTGACTCTGAAAACTGTGATTACCAGCAGCATAGGGAATGCCCACCACTGTGTTTAGGGCCACGCTTCTCCACCCACAGAGCAGAAATCAGGACTGGGAACTGAAATCAGTGGTGTTCCCTCTGTGCAAATGACCAAGAACAAGGCAGTGCCCACTCTGGGTTCCCCCTCTTTCACCATGTGTCTCATTCTGCAGCCAAGGAGACGGTCTGTCTGGGTAGAAGAAAAGCACATTGTGCTTCGCCACTCCTACATCAGCTGAACTGCCTGTGGGGGCCATATCTATAGGCATAAACTAAAGTAGTCCCAAGCTGCTGCATGGTACACCGGCATCCAGCCTGCCTCCTGGATGGCTCAGGAACACCAGCACGGGAAGGACAATTCAGTGGTTTACTGACATCGCTGCTTTGCATCTCTGCAGCCCTCTGGTGTGCTTATACCTCCGGAGAGCCTCAAAATTAAGCTCTTCAGATGTATTTCTCTCTGTTCACGGTAACCTCTAAACACCTTCTCCTGTATAACACAGTACACGCTGGCAATGCTGAGATTAAAGGGTTCTGTTAGGATTTTCACTGCATCTTCCTCCTTCCAAGAGATCAATGTAAGCTTTTCTGTATTATTGCCCATACAAGCTTCTTAGGATGCACCAGGTTTTTAAATGACGACTTAATGTCTTAAAAGTTTTAGGCTCTCCATTATCAGTTAGGAAAATCTACGAACAGGGTGGCTGCATTTTGAATTTTTTGGGGCAACACAGACTGAACTTCATTGAGAGAGAAAAGGTATTTATATGAGGAAGAAATTAAAGTATTACCAGGTAGTCCCATATATAATGGAACAGTATAATACTAACCAATTCTAATATATTCTCTAATGGTCCTGTTCTATTTCTCATTTATATCAGTCTTGAATCCCTAAATGTCACTTGTCCTGTGGGAGACTATTACAGAACCTCATCGATATTAATGGCATCTGCTTCACAGAGTCAGCAACCCCCCAACAGCATCAGACATTTAGAGCTTTAGAAGGGGAGGCTCTTCCATTATACTTTATCATAGACAATGTGAAATTCTGCCTTTTCATACTCTGGGAACATCACCCCAGTTTCACAGCAGGGATAACTTGCTCAGTGTGCTGTTTCTTGCCGTTTAGATGCTACACACCTTATTTTGCAGAAACTTCCCCCTCCTTTTCAGGGCTTGTGCCAGTCTCACAATTTCATGGAGGGAAAAGAACTTACTCTGCTTCTCGGGAGAAGCTACACAAATGAATGACAAAAGTCCATACTGAAAGCACCTTGCAAAAAAAAGTCACTGAGAAAGAGCCACCACATATTGGTCCTACCTGGACGCTAAACCATAGACAAAGCAGTTTTTGGCTGTCAGCAATGGTGTTGAATATCTGCACACAACACTGAGCACCAACTTTGAAATCTTTTTTTACACGAAGTAGGTCATAATTTTTGCTCCCAAGTCACTGAAAGAAAAAACAACGGGGGCACCCAATGACATTATGGGGGATAGGGTGAAGTTAAGATGACAGTGCTTACTTCATTAAAGCAAAGCATCTGCC